AAATAAGTTCACAATGCTGTGGGTCATGGGCCATCTATGCCCCCGCTATCCTTTTTTGTTGCTCCCATATTTACTTACCTTTACTTACTCAAAGCTTCCTCCAATTAATTGGAGATGGATTAGCAAAAATACACATTTGCCAGAAGTTGTCATTAAAATATGTCTGCTTGCCTTTCATTACTTTTATTGACTCACCATCACAAGCATACAAACAGAAAAACTGGCAGAAAATCAAACAGGAAAACTCCAAAAGTAGAAGCCCTCAGAACCTCATAAGTTAATTTAATATATTTGCACTCTAATCTGCTTTAGTCAGATCCCATCTGGAATACTGTGTCCAGTTCTGGGCAGAATTCAATAATCAAGTCTGCTTCATTTTCAATACAACATTCTTTCCAATGTTTAAACTTGGCTGCTGTGTCCCTCCTCAACCTTCTCTTCTCCAAGCTACCCAGCTTCCTTAGCTTCCAAACTTTTAACTATTTTAGTTGCTCTCTAGACATGTCCCAGCTTCTCAATATGTTTTTAGTTGCTCCTGGAGTAACAGATTCAAACTACAGGAAAAGCGAATCCACCTAAATATTAGGAAGAGCTGTTCAACAGTTGAATACATTGCCTTGGTGCGTAGTTTTCTTCTCCAGGTTTTCAAACAGAGCCTAAATGGTCATCATTCAAGAATGCTTTGTGTTCCTGCAAAGGAGAACGGACTGGATGGCCCTTGGGGTGTCTTCCAACTCTACAATCTGATGTCTCGTTTTGTTTTTACTGGAAATGTGATAGTGTAGCTAATTGCTGCAGAAAAATTGGTCCTTGCCTCAAAGGTAATTTCTAGCAGTTTTTCTTTAAACAGATGCAGTCCTCCATTTCCCCTTGTGTACTTTCTTCCCTTTCCCCTTGTTTTCCTCAACGGTGAACTATAAATGATGTGCTAGGATGCACACTTGTTCTCATATATAATGCCTAAAAAAACATTTTCTGCCTTTTCCATGATTAATACAAATAGACTAATGTGTATTAAATCCACTTTCATCTTTTCAGATTCCCAGAGGTTGCAAAAGTTCATGTGCTAAGCACAAAGAACGTATCTCTTTCATTTGGACAGGTACTGCTTAGCATTCTTCATAGAATCAAAGAGTTGGAAGAGACCTCATGGGCCATCCTGTCCAACCCCCTGCCAAGAAGCAGGAATATTGCATTCAAATCACCCCTGACAGATGGCCATCCAGCCTGTTTAAAAGCCTTCAAAGAGGGAGCCTCCACCACACTCTGGGGCAGAGTTCCACTGCTGAACGGCTCTCAGTCAGTAAGTTCTTCCTCATGTTCAGATGGAATCTCCTTTCTTGTAGTTTGAAGCCAGTTTCGCGTCCTAGTCTCCAGGGAAGCAGAAAACAAGCTTGCTCCCTCCTCCCTGTGGCTTCCTCACATATTTATACATGGCTATCATATCTCCTCTCAGTCTTCTCTTCTTCAGGCTAAACATGCCCAGCTCCTTAAGCCGCTCCTCATAGGGCTTGTTCTCCAGACCCTTGATCATTTTTGTCACCCTCCTCTGGACACATTCCAGCTTGTCAATATCTCAGTTAATTGTTCCATTGCTTCCACTGAACTATTGCAACTTTGAAAAAAATAACTTGCAGGATTATATCTGAATTGGAATATTTGCCTATTCAGCTTGGTATTACAAAGCCCCCGAGTGCTCACATTTCCAAACCATTCGCCAGCAAAACATAGCCATATGATACCATTTTTAGCTGCCCACATACCTACCTGGTTTATTGTGAACAGATTTAGTTCTTTTCCTCTAAGTACATTTATTTTACCTTCTCTCAAAAACCAAACAGCTGTGGCATCAATTAAAAGAAAAATTAAAAGCAATGTATTTCAAAAGGAGTCTTCATTGTGAAGCACCTTACAACACATGCCAGTTAAATCTTGTTTTGAATGGGAGTCCTTACAGCAGAATGACCGATATTATTAGGGAATAATCTCTACTGAATTATATTAGGCTTTGCTTCTGAATAAACATGCTTAAAGCAGCACCATCAGTCCTTTAAGATCTTAAAATGCCTACTCAGAAGTTCATGAAGTTAGTGCAGCCAACTCTTAGGGAACTGTGCAGGTTCACTCCCTAAATCCATTCCCAAAAGGTTCTACTTCCACCCCTACAGCTACTTCCCCATTCTTAGATGTAGCAAACGGTCTTCTGCCCTACTAATTTAAAATGAGGTATGAGATTTAACGATTTCAATATTTTCCACAAATGTCTTGTCAAACGATCAGTCAATAAATCCAGATAGCTGCTCTTTGTCTAACACAGATTTCAGAGATGTAACAGACCTTGATGACAGCATATAATCTATGTTTCTGTGCTACAGAAATGAGAGATGCAACCAACCTAGAAAATACAGCATTCAGCATTACCACACTCTGCCTCATTTACTTCTTTATCATTCCCCACTTTCCAGCATTAAATCTTTTTGTTTCCTCACTCTACATTTTAATAATAATTGTTCTTACCTGCCTTTCCCAAAGGATCGAGACAAGGAACAGATTAAATACAGCAACAAATAGGCATATGGAACATTTACTCTACAATCACCATTTAAAAATGATCTATTCTCAAATGGAGATATTGCTTTATCCCAGGCATGGACAAACTTTGGCCCTCCAGGTGTTTTGGACTTCAACTCTCACAATTCCTGACAGCCAATGGGCTGTTAGGAACTGTGAGCATTGAAGTCCAAAACACCTGGAGGGCCAAAGTTTGCCCATGCCTGGGATAAAGCAATATCTCCATTTGAAAATAGTTCATTCTAAAAAAAACCCCTTTCGTTATTTGTGATGTACAAACACCCAATGGTTTTGAAATGAGATGGTTTTGAGTGAAGCCCGATTAGGGAAAGGATTGACTGTACTAGATCTATTTCAGTGATATTACCCCCACCCAAAATATAGGCAAATGGCTGTTAAAATACAGTGATAAAGAAGTTCCCTTTCACTATGTCTTTGTACACCAGCCCAGTCCCTCTTTATATCCTAGTCCCCAATCAAGCTGAGATTTTTTTCTGGGGCATCAGCATTGGGAGGATTTGTGGAAGGATGGAAAGACTTTCAGTGTCTGGTTGCAGCTGTGTCTCTGTAGTAATCACTGCAATAAAACTTGATATGGCAAAAGAATGGGATTCTGCTCTAGGCAAACCTATTGTAGAATTGTCCTTCCAGGCAAGGTAAATAGCACCTGCCTCCTTACTGAGCATAAATGAGCATAGAAAGGAGAGTTCAACTTGCTTTACCCAGGTACGCCCAAGCATGTCAAAACTGCATAGCCATGCATGTTTCCTTACCCTAATAATAATAATAATAATAATAATAATAATAATAATAATAATGCAGAAGCTTGTGAAAGAAAAAAATAATCCTTGGATGCATTTTGGAAGGAGGTTTCAACTGTCAAAATATTTTTGTTTACTTATGCAAGACTTTCCTGAAATGGTGGTTTCATTTCATATGGACATATTGGAACATTTTGAATAACCAGTTGTTGAAATATATTGAATTGCTCTTCTTTTTCAGTGTGGGACTCAATTTTTATTCTTTCCATGTAATTTTTGCCTCTGGTATCAAGCTTTCTGTTACACTCAGGAACACATCTTTGTTTACTGTTGTACAAATGAACAATTTTCTGGATATTTCAGAGGCTTCATACTTGACCTAATATTTAGGATTGTCCTTTCAGCTTACTATRACTCTCTTAGCTTTATTAGGATGGCCTGACAGATTCCCATAGTATTATTTATTTATGTACAACATTTCTACCCTGCCCTTCTTAACCCCCCCCCCCAGGGGGGGGGGATGGGACAGGACTCAGAGCGGCTTACACTGGCAACAATTTGATGCCGCAACAAATATGACAAATATAACAGCAATATAAAAACAATTAAAAACAACAGATTAAAAACAGTTAAAACATTATCACAATCATGTATATGAAATTGCTAAAAAGATATCTCGGAGTATTTTAGCTAATACTTTCACACTGCAAGCCACATCAACAACTTTGGGGCATTTTCCCAGAATACTGGGAACTCTCCAGAAGAACAGATGGAGTGAACCAGAAGTCCTTCTAGGAAACAGGGCAGACTGGGCTGTGCTGGTGGCAATATGCTCTGACCATGTTTCACAATTGTTTGCTATTCTTGTTGGGCTTTCATTCACTTGAAATAGTTCCATCTAGAATCTGAATATAATAAAAGAAACTGGCAGGAAGAGAGTCCTCACATCATTCCAGAAGAAAAATCAAATATTTACTCTTCTTTCATTTGATCTCTCCTGATATTCCTCCTTATGGAATAGCAAGAGGGACCAAATGAAAGAGAAGTGAATATTATTAGATTTTTTTTATTTCTAAGACATTTTAATGTCATTAGGCAACATTTTAATCTCATTGGACAAAACAATATGCTTTCCTATCCACAAGAGTGAATTCCTTTTTTTATCAATGAAGTGCTTTTTTCAAATCTTCAATGGGTATTAGAATAGCAAGACTCCCATCTTGTGGTGGAATGAATCACTGTAGCTCAGGGATCACCACAGAAAACTTTTGAACTTTTAAAATTCACGCTATTCCTTAAAAAAGAAGACATCAAACCTTATTTCAAGCTGACCTCTTCATACCAAACTACAAAAGTGGGAAGCTAGAACTGTACACTTTTTTTCAAGATTGTAAGGCAAATAAATGCAGGTTGATTTTGTGATCTTAGCAACAAACTAACATAACAGCCCTCCCCAGACAGAACACTGTGTCATCACTGAAAGCTAAACCAAGGAGAGAAGTGACTATAAAATCTCCAATACCATTCAAATACATCTTGCATAATAAAAGTATGTTTTGTACTGATGATATTTAAAAATAATTCAAAACCTTACAAAGACAAGTGTTTTAACTACAGTAGGAATACAAATTGGTTCCTCTTTTTATTTCCAAAGTACCAACAAGCAAGTTGTCTGAAGATATCTTTTATTTGTTAATTTCACATGGAAAAAGTATGCAAGTTACACTAGATTTAAGAACACACCTAACACATTAACATAAGCCCATATCCTGATTTAGTATCTAAAGTAAAACTAGCAAAGGATTTTTTTTTCAAATCCTTCATCTTTCTATTCATGATGCAACTGCTAGAAAAAGGTTCTTTACAAATATTCCAAGTAAAATTTACGTAACTTGATTGCTAAAATACAAAAGTTTTCAGTACAAAAGTTTCTTTGAATTCACCTTTCCCTCCCCTTCCAAAAGCACCTAAGGATGTAAAAGGACAAGAGCAGATGGCTAGTCTAACAACCAAACCCTCACACAGTAGTTTACTTTTGAATGAGAATATTAAAAAGGACCATCATAAAAGTGAGGGCTGTTTTGGGGGTGGGGAAAACCCAGATTATTCAGTGTCGATATTTCACATTTCAAAAAGCTATATATACGGGTTCACTTACAAAAATCCCCCATCTCTGTGACAAAGGAAATTAAGGCCAGACACAGCTTTAAAATTCACAAAAGGAAATATAAAAATATGTTGTGCTTCCAAGGAGGTTCTCCTCTGCAGGAAGGGATTAACATAATTCAGAAATATAGATGACTGGAGTTTACATAATTGCACAGCTTTTGTTAGCCGCTCGTGGATCTCCCTGTTTTAAATAGAGGAAAACAATTTCAATTAGGACTATATAAGATGCTTTTTCATTCTTTTTCATCAATTGTAATGTAGCATATACACTGTAGTAAAACAAAAAATCTGCCTTTTTTGCCAAGCTCCAACACTGGGCAGGTAGGGGAATTAAAGACAATTTTCCCATTATCAATGTATTTTTTAAATAGGAGCCAGAATGTGAACATAGTCATCTAGAGCTTACGAGGCTCTAGATGAGTGGTTCTTGGTCTGTGGGTCTCCAGGTGCTTTGGCCTACAATCCCAGAAATCCCAACCAGTTTACCAGCTGTTAGGATTTCTGGGAGTTGGAGGCCAAAACATCTGGAGGCCCACAGGCTGAGGAACACTGCTCTAGATTCTGACTTGTTATTACTGTAGAAGATTTTATTGTAGCTTCTACAATGTATTAGATTATGTACCAGCACAGCATAATAAATCTAAGTAAATTCTTGCTCAGTAAGGACTAGATCTAGCTGTAAGTTCCAACTAGACCAAATCCAGCGAATCAGTTGAAGTGTTAACTTAAGAGGTTTCCTGGACATCTGGGTCCTGGTGACATTGGGATACACATGACTCCAATCCTGTAGTGTCTTTCCACCGCACTCCAAGGAAACTTTTCGAGTCGTAATTTTGTTCCTGTAATCATGCAACTTATTGCAGACTTTTTAATTGACCCCTGATCATTCAAAGATCAAGGAACATGGATTCAGCCAGACTGGGCTACACTGGCTGAAAACTCAGTAAAAGTTTTCACCCTAGCTGCACTTCTTGAGATGATAGATCCAGCCTTATTTACATCCCATTGTGACTTTTATAATATGCTACATGTGGAGTTGTTCCCCACAGAAAGCATCTATAATTTTATAGATAAGGCAGTTGCTCTAACTAAGATGCAGTTTCTATACACCAACAGAAATTAAAATACTCTGGAACTATAAAGCATCACAAAAGTGCTTTTACTTTCACAACAATATGATTTTTTTTTTACTGAATATGGAACAGAAATCAAAATTTACATTTAGAAAGGCAGCAGTAATTTAACTCTGCCAAGCAGACAAAACACCTCCACTGATTGACTGGGGCATTTTCTGTTTTCAATGAAAATCGGATGCATTGTGATGTATAAATTCACTTTTTTGTCTGTATATGGGACAACACAGCTTATCAACAAGGTGTACCATACACTCACATATCTACATTGTTAGTAGATAGTATTGCTGCTATCTATTAAACAGGTGACTATCACTTAAGAATTAAGGTACCTGCTGGTGGAACAGATCCTCCTCTTCCACAGCTTCAGCTGCTTCTTCTTCTGCTTCGTCTCCCTCCTCAGCTTCAAGTATGGTTGTTTTGAAGACTGTGCTTCTCTGAGCAACCTCCTATTAACAGACACAACGACTCAATTAACAAATACTTCCAATTTCCAAAATAAGGAATCCTGCTGAAAACTTGTACCTATGCTGTCCATTTAAACCTTGACCAGACAGTGCCGGTAACATAGATTAAACACACTATTCCTTCAAGTTGAATTAGCCATTTAATTCCCGCCATTTTTTACAGAAACATTAGTATATTGTTTTGAATCTAGTTGAGCCAGATTTTTTTTACATTACCTCTCCCTGAGGGTTTTTCAAGACAACTTTCACATCTTTGCCAGTGCCCCAAGAGTTCTGATTCTTCCAGATGAGGTCTGAAGGAGGACTGGCCACTACTCCAGCATTAGCGGCCCATATCTGAGTAGGAAAAAAATACCATGAAAGTACACCTTCTAGAAAAGACTCACACAACTTTTATTTATAACAGTGACTACATATAGGACACTTAGAATGCAAACATATAATTTTGGAATGTTTGGCTTAAAGGTGCCGATTCATAATAGAAAAGAAAACTGGATAGTGTAGCAAAAGAAGAAATAGCCCAAGTGGATATTTAATGGAAAAGATCAGAAGATACAAGAAATTTAATGCACACCCCTTCACATCCAAAGTCCTTTTAAAATAGAGTCTCCTATGGCACAATTTTCTTGTTATCACAGCAAACAGTTTGGGGAACAAGCATTTACAAAAAGATGCAGACATATAAGTATATACCTTCTCAACAAACTATTGTAATTCCTTAATGAAATCAAAACATAAATTGCATGAATGGCAGAAACCACTGAACTACAATCTGCATTACATATGTATATTCAACAAAAAAATCACTTACGGTAACAGTCTGGCCTGCTTTCAGCACATATCGTGAGGTATACTTATAACTGACAGAAGTGTCTCCAATTTTTCTGATCATCTCCCAACCTCCCATTGGTTGATCCTAAATGAAGGCAGAGATAATGTTTCCATATTATGCCTCTATACTTTTGAATACTGTGATATGCAACATCTAAGTCATTTTCTGTTGTGATACTGTCATCTGGTAATTTTTATTATTCTCCGTATTTAAAAATGATAAAATTCCTATTAATTACTTGCTTAAGTCTTTCTCATTGACAGTGAAAGCTTTAAATTAATATATGTATTTTTGGTATTACGCTTTTCCCTTTGACCCACCAATCACTGGAGAGCACATTCCAATAATGTCTCTGAAACCAAAGTCAGCCCTTGGACTGAAACAGTTATCCACCCTTAATGCAATGCTTGCTGCTTTCATTGCGTGATGTTTTACTGTAAAACCATGAGATTTACAATCTTGAGTATTTTGAACAAATTATTTTCATAGGACAAAACTGCGTGCTTCAAGAACATTTTTACTGCATTGTTTTCTTTGTTTCCTACTTCAAGCATCCAGAAGAATATAAATTTTATGTTTTATTGACTCCAAAATTGGAGCAAGTTACCACTGCTTTATTTTGAAAGAAAGAGTATGACCAACATTTATGTACCTGATCTGAAGTATTCTTCAAACGAATGAACTTCCCATCTACATCAATCTCCTCAATGCAGATATTTCCGGTAGCAGAAGCAGAATGGGAGATGCTAACACTGCTACTGGCCTCTGATTCTTCAACATCCACCCTCTTCCTTTTCCCCCTTGTGGTACGCACACTTCGGCTTGATGATGCCCGAGAGACTGTCACTCGAGAAGATGGGCTTGGAGTCAGTTTCAACCTGAAGAAGAAGAGGAAGAAATCTATTAACACCATAAACACTTCAATATCTTCCTTCTTTCCTCCCAGGCAGAGGAACCAGTACAGGCATTCCTGAGTTACAAATATCCAATTGCAAACAACTCATAGTTAAGAATAGGGGAGAGACAACAGGAAGTGAGAGAAATCTACCCCTAGGAAGCGAGAGTAACTCCTGAAAAGAGGGTCTCACGTGAAGCTTCCTCACCAATCATTTTTCCACAAGCCAATTTTTCAAAATCCAATTTACAAAGAGGATATTTTTGACCAGGGACTTAGGCATTAGAAACAAACACCACAAGGGTGCTAACCCTTCTCTATGCTATCCAATTCTTTTATATATGTGTGTGTGCGCAGCTGGAGTTACACTTTAAAATGTACCTCTTCCGACTTACAAATGCAACTTAAAAACAAACCAACAGAACCTATCTTGTTCGTAACATGGGGATTGTTGCAGTAGAGTGTACTGGTCAAGTTACAACTAGTAGCAGAAGAGGAAAGAGGGCTGCTCAGGTGTTGGAGCAGGAGCAGCTGAGGAAGCGAATTAGGGAGATATTCATGACACCTACAGATACTGACTCGTTTGAAGGCTTCTCAGACTCTGAAATGGAGGAGGAGGGAGATGGGGGTAGAGATATAAAGCGGATTACCCGGGAGCAAGAATCAGATGAAGAACATGAAAGGAAACGTAACCGTGAAATACTTAATGCTCCAACTGAGGAGGAAGATTTTATGGGGTTCACGGGAAGTGATGGGACTGGGAGTAGTGACGAAGAGGAAGATGGGCTGGATTGGACCCGTGTGCAGGAAATCAAGGAAATATGTACACAACCAACATCTAGTGATGTGTTTGAAGGTTTCTTTGGGGATTGGCAATCTGGTGATACATGGGGTGATCTAAGTCTTGATAGAAGGTGGAAAAGTTGGAGAGATGGGCGGTGGTGATCAGCTGTGGTAGCCAAGGCAGCTGAGAGTGATGAAGACAGGGTGGAGAACAGTTCATCATCTGATAATGAGTTATAGGATAAAAGTAGGTATCAAACTATGGGGACTTTGCAGTAGGCAAAGTGTTGTACTCGTGCTTGGGACTTTGTTGCTGCCATTGCTCTTGTGGGCTTGGGTCCTGGAACTGCAGGTTGCTGTGTTTCCGTGTTTTCTACTGACTGGAATCTTGTAAGTGCTGACTTCTACTTCCCCTCTGACTTCGGATTGTTTTTGGACAACATCGCGTTTTGGATTTAATCATCTTTTTCTGGACGTGCTTTGACCTGGGACTGCTTTTTGACGATGATTTTGCTTGCTTCACCCTTGTTTCCTCGTGTTTACTGAACTCTGTGTTTTTGAAGCAATTTGCTAATACTTTTTGTTATCCCGGATTATATTCCAGTATAATCCGGATTATCCGCTAAATTACGTTTTTGCATAGCAGCTTGCTACAGAGTTTCAGTTATTGCTAGAAACACTGAGTTAAGTGTTTCTACTCTATTTTTGTTGTGCTAATAAACTTTGGTTGGACCTTTTCTTTGTGTCTGGCTCTTTTAAGGCATCTGGTTCACGACAGGGATTTCCTATATATTAGGTTTTGTCAATATGGCTCTTTAATCGTTGCCTCCAATGCTGGCTTTCAAATGAATATATTCCACAAAGGTTAAGACCTTTCAAGACCAAAGCTCGTCTTTGAACAAGAGGTTCCTCATTAGCATATTTTTTATGTGGCAGAGAGAAAAGGACACAATTTCTGGTCAAGATATAGAACAATTCTAAAGTTGGACTGTGGAGAAACAGAGAAGATCTGCAATTGCATCCTAAGATCTGCCCACTTGTATTAGCTCAGGCAGAAGGTGATGATGTGGTGCAATGACCTGAGGTGGGTTTTAGCTTCCAGCAGTTTCAAGGTGTCATAATTTTACAGCCCAAGGCCAGGGGAATAGAAAGACTTTGGATCTACAGGATCAAAAGCTGACTAAGTCCAACATTGAGACCATAAAGCAGAGGCTTGATATTTTCCTGGCTGCTAAGCTCAAGCACCAGTGAGATCTCCCTCTACTATGAAAGAACACTGTAACCTGAATCCTACCCCATCAGCAAACATTAACATCTCAGACAAAAAAAAGTTAAGGTTTGGAAAGAGGCGGATCTTTCTATTTTTCATTTTCAATTGTCAAAACATTTGGTTACTCATATGAAATCACGATTCCACCTGCTCTTCATTCAATGGGGGCTGTGTCAATTTGAACTGGGCAAGTAGTTATGTCGACACAATCTTTATGTTAATTTATAGCCTCCTTCAAACAAAATGGTCTTACCTTTCTTCTTCACCTTCCAAGAGCTTCCTGTATGCATGGATTTCCATATCCAAAGCCAGTTTTACATCTAGCAGTTGTTCATAATCATTTAACTGCTGCTGCATCTGATCCCTTATTTCTGCCATCTCCCTTTCTTTTTCAGAGAGTGTCCTGCGGAAGTTATCTCGTTCTTTAGCAAGGATTTCCTCCAGTTCTTGCATCCTCTCTAGCCATCCTCGAGACTAAAATGTTAACACAAACAAAAATTCCCAACAATTTTATCTTCTGAAACTTAATACTCAAAAAATGTCATAAATGAAAAAATGCAATACATTCTTGTTTTTGATCCAAATTGCCTATTTTGTAAGTGTCTGTTTCTACATACTGAAAGTGGCAAAGCTTCTCATTACAGCCATCAATTACACATTTCCTATCTTGCGCAAAATTAAACCAAGCGAGTCACTGAAATATTACAAAATCTGTTCATTACAGAAACAGAGATATTATTCGTGCTATTCAAGATTTTGATATGTTTTTCATTTAATGATAGCTTTCTTGAGGCCAGGGCAGGCCTAAATACATGAGAGTAATTAAAATGCAATTAATTTAAGAGTGCTTTTATGTACTGGACAAAAGTGGGATTTTGAGCTGAAATTGTTGATTCAACCACCATTATAGTTAACATCTTGGTAACGATAAGATTTAAATGCCACTCATCATATATTGGAACAAACAAGTTTAAAATTTGCAAAGTTACAGTTTTAGACCCAGACATATCTTCCCTAAAGTAATCATGTAAAAATGAAACAAAACAGTAGAAATGAATACGGATAACTTTAGGAAAGACAATTCTGTCTCTAAAAATCACAAAATTACAACTTGTTTGTACAAATGTTTGATGATAATGCCATTCAGATGACACTAATTCTGTTATCAATAGCAATGGCTGTAAAGCTGCGACAAATATTCATACTATCATTATATAACTAAAAATAAAAACAGCAGTTGAAACTGACTTGGGAATACTCAACTTGTCTGGTCTGTACTAAACAGACTTGGACAACTATCTTCATGAATACAAACATATATACCATTTTTATTCAGTTAACCATGGTGTACACAAAGGCAGAAAAGATCACCTACCTTTAAAATGAGCTCTCTTTGTTTTAGGGTTAACTCCCAATATATATGCATGGACATAGATCAAATTTAGAGAAAAGGAACTCGCCTGCCCCAAGTTAAAATGCCAAAACAGATTAACTCATATTACACACACACTCCTCTGTGTTCAAAGCTCATGCTAAGAGTGGGTGAGAGGAAATAACATGTTATTTCTTTTAGATTAAAGGATCGAGTTACCCACTGATGCAGAACCCTGCTGAAGCTTTCCTCAAACTAAATACTCTCTTTCATTTTAAGAATTAGGAAATAGAAAATAAAAGACTTAGTAGAACTTGACAGTTTGCTCACTAGCTTACCTGAGATTTACAGACATCTTTCCCCTCAATCTGTCTACACTCAAAGAAAGACCTTGAGGAATGTACAGTTAAAGGCACAGAAACACCATACATCAATACCTTAAAAAGATACAATTATCTCTTGACTTGCAAAGTGGTCAAAATTCAGTCATTGCTTCAGAATTGTTCCTCCTCCCTAGCTAGCCTAGTCAGTGCTTACCCTTCTTCAACAGGAAAGATTTATAACCCAGCCAGAGACACATGGAACATTGTGGGATGTTCCTTACGCAATTTATACAGATCTCAAAAATGCATATCTTTTCATGAAATTACTAGATATTTCACTCCTTACCTCTTTCTGCAAATTAGCAAGTTGGGAAGAAAGGCTGTCAATGCGCATGCGACTTTCCATTAGTTCTTCTCTTACTGTGCTGGCTGCAGAACTACTCATTTCAGAGGACAGTCTTGCATTCTCAAGCTGAAAAAAGCAAGCAGAACATACTCACATTTGGTCTGTCAACCAATACCAAACAAGCACTCGTACTCAAAAATCTACATTATGAAGTGAAGTGTAACAGTTGTGAAATACAGGAAATGTGTCAAGCAGGCTTTTTCTTTAGTACATATGCAATACTTCCTGGGAGACAGTCCCTTCAACTACAAAAATATGCAATTATTTTCTTTCCAACTGCACTCTTTATAAATTATTTGCTCAACAACTGTGTTTGGAGGCAACTGGATCTATTTTTTTCTACCTTGTCACATGAGGTAATTGGCTTTTGCAAGTGTCTGATTACTACAGCCACAGAAGCAACTCAACAGGACATATGTCTTTATTCTAGCACTTGTCTATCACAAACTCTAAAGGTCGCACTGGTTTGGTTTTTTTTACCTGACAAGAGACTGTCAGCTTGACATCACTGTACATACATGATAGAAAGGAGGTACATGGTCTACTGATCTGTTCCCCTTGTGACAGGAGTCACTAACCAGTATACACCAGTGTGCTTACTTGTTGCATCTGGCTAAATCCAATATGGGAACATTAATAAGAAAAAACCCCAGTAATAATCTTCACGGGAGTGTGAAATTCATTAGAAATTACACCCAAGCAAGTGTGTTTCAAGAATTATCCAAATGGCTAGTTAATTAACTCAATTAAATTGAAGTTATTTCTGCTTATGACAGCCAGCACGGTGTAATGGTTAGAGAATTGATCTATGGCATTGAAGATCAGGATTCACATGTCTGCTGGCATGGATACCCACTAGGTGACCTTCGACAATTCACATTCTCCCAGTCTCAGCAGAAGATAAAGGTAAACCCCCTCTGCCAAGATATCTTGACAAGAAAACCACATATGTTCACCTCAGGATTGTCATAACTCAGAAATAACTTGTGAGGCACACAAGAGAAACTAACTGTTTCTTGTTCATGTAGCCCTGCTACATGCACAATGGAGGACCTTCTTGCGGCAACACCAGAGGCACTCCAAGTGGCCAGATACTGGTCAAAGGACATTTAATCAACTACCAAGTTTGCAAAATTTGTGTTTTTTTATCTGTTTGTTTTGTTATGTTAGAAATGTAATACAATGGTATGGTTGCTGATGACACGATAAATAAATAAATATTGTTCTTTTAAAAGATTCAGTTACTGCTCACTCTCTGTATTATTAAAGACACTTGTAGACTTACGGTGACCATTTCACATGGTTTTCTTCAGTAATGGATAGTCAAAAGTTTTCCCAGACCCCTCTGCTGAAATATTGCCTACAGTATCTAATACTCATTGGTGGCCTCCTATTCAAGTACTAATAATGGCTGTCCCTACTTAGCATCCAAAATCAGACAGGATTTGATGCCTTTAGGATATTTAGGCCTTAGTTTAAGTTAACACTTAAATGAATTTTCCAATGTGTTCAAATGCAGCTTCATAGGACAGCATACAAAAGAAGCCTATGCTATTTTAATACCTTATATGGTTAGCTGAATTTTATGTTAGTACTAGTTAAAATTTAATTTAATACCAACTAAAAGCAGTAATTCCAGAATCTTCAAGTTGGCTCATGATGCAAATTGTAACCCAACACATATTGAAGGTATCATGTTGGGGAAGGCTACTTCTGAAAACAAATTTTTCTTTTCGCAAACTTCCAAAATCTCCGTAATATGATCATTTTATGTATTCAAATGTAAATTTAAGATTTACGGCAATATCAAGTTTACCTCAACTTTACAAAGCAGAACAGATTTGTTAGCTAGATATGTAGCACCGATATGTAGTCAGAGCAACTATTCTGACTGCAGTGATCGTTTTAAAAACGGAATCTGCCTTGCCCCATCACAAGGAGTGAACGATTTGTTTTGTAAATGACCAAGCGATATTAGAATCATAAACTGACTATAGAATAAGATCGATTCTGCCATTTATGTACATATGCTCAATTTGAACGCTAGCAATTTTTTTCTGGCACTCAATTAATACTAGTATTTGTTTTCCATTTTTCTTTCACCTAAATAAAAAAGATTGCACACTAAGTTTTATTGGTTGGGGCTAAACCAACTTTAAAGATTTGTTAATATTTTGAACTTAATTTTTATTAAGGCCATTGTTACCTACCCCAAAAGCTAAGTGGGTTATAATCTAAATTAAAATTTGAATCCAGACACAATGTTCACTCATTCCACTGCAAAGTTTTTCAACAAAACTATTAGAATTTGAAGATATTCAAGTTATAAATACTTTGGCATGGTAAGTCTCTTCAAGTTCCTCCTTGTACAATTTCACTTGTGCATCATGCTCCTCTCTCATTTCCTGAAGGGCTTGGGCCAATCTGTGTTCATATTCTATTTGTCGTCCAGAATCCACCTCAACAAGACGTGTTTCGTGCTTTCTTCTTGTTTCATTGATTTCCTACAATTGAACAATAAAAATACATGTGGTTTAGAAATGCTGATATATGAAATCATTTTAATAAGACAACTTTTCAGATCATTATGCAAAGTAAAGTTTAACACCACAGTAAAGTTTAACACCCTTCTCACCCCAAGGGAGATACTGAGCAGCATGTAACTTAGCACAATTCGATGCCACATCAAAACATAAACATACAAATTATAAATAAACAATATACCATTAAACATAAAACAATAACACATATATACACAATTAAAACAGGTTTTAAAGCCACAATTAAAACAACCACATAGTTCACAGCCACATATATCCCAAGATTCTTTTTTGTACTGATAAACAGAAAACCCCCACTTGAGCATGTTGTGTGGTCACGTTAAACATCATCAATAAATATGCATGCCCAGCCAACAAATTTCCTCCTTTAAGAACGAGGCAAACATTCTCAGTGTGTGTTTGAAATCTACTTAAAGAGAATATCATAAAACCTTCTTCCATCGTTCCAAGATAATATTTCAGAGGAAGAATAAACAGTAAAGGGCTTGGGGGGATGCACTGGTCATCTTGGGATAACCACACCCACATTTTTTTACAGCAGTGTATTAAAAAAGTATTTTTAGGTGGGGAAGAAGCCTCCTCATTTCCACAGATGATATAAGGTGCAATTTTACCACTTCCAATGCCTATCCAGCCCCAGGTTGTTGTAGATCTAGGAAAGGGAAATCAATCAAAATCTCTTTCCAGTTCAGTTTTTTAAATTAATAAATAAATTAGAAGGCTTTTTCTGGGACAATAGATGATTTGTTACTGTATGTCTTCAGGTCATTTCTGATTTGTGGCAACCCTATGATGGGTTTTCTTGGCATAATTTGTTCAGAGGAATATGCTTTTGTCTTCTTCTGAAGCTGAAAGAGTGCAACCTGCCCAAGGTCACTAAGTGGGAAACCCTAGTGTCCAGAGAATTAGTTCAATACTCAAACCATTACAGCACACTAGATCTTAAAAGCTGTGTGGTATGCAATGTCATTTGTGACTTTTTTAAAAAACAAAAACCCAACAACATTCTCAATTTGTTTGAAAGTGTTTGTAACCACAAAAAAGGAGAGAAAAAAAGGATGCAGTCATGTGTGTCCCAGATGTCACATTCTTCCCACTTTTACTTTGAGTATTAAACAATATTACCTCTTCGTATATATTTTTTCGAAATTCCAAGTCTTCAATCAAACTTTGACAGCGATTTTCAAGATCCACCTTCAGTAATGTTTCATCAACCAGCTGTTTTTTAGCAGCTGCTAAAGTAACTTCAAGCTTTAAAAGAAATATTAAATGCATATTACTAACCAAACTGGCAAATAAAATAAAACAGTAGCTAACAAGTATTCAAAGAATTGGCCACCTGTAGAACATAAAGAATACAGTCAATGCTTTCTTTACCCACTCTCACAATTAGTGAGTGTATAATTCAACAAAATCAGAAGACACTGATTTTGTTTGGAATCAACAATAACCTACTTACATAAAGTATTTAATGAAAAATCTCTTCTACAGTATCTTAAAAAGGGTCAATAGTTTCCTATGCATAAAATCATTTAAATGTATATAAAATAACATTATATGTACAAGACTATTTGCAGCATAGTCCCAGTACAAATCCCTAATGATATTCTGCCACTTTTGATTCATCTTAATGTAACTAACTCAAAAGTGAACACAACCATCATGCCATTTCAAGTCTCAATCCACATCTATCTTTGGAAAATCTACAAGGATGTGAAATTTTGTTAGGTGACTGAAAAACAGAAATCTGACCAGAATCTGGTGTGGTTTAGACCAGTGTTTCTCATTTTACAAAATAAGATAAAATATTGTGTGTTAGTAAAACTAATTGTGTCTTACCTGACCAATTTGATCTTTCAGATCTTCAAGGTCTCCCTCTAGACTCTTCTTATCAGCAAGGGCTGTGGCAAGTGCTGCTTCTTTAGCATTCAGAGCTGCTTCATACTCTCGAAGTCTAGCTACGGCTCCATTAAGCTCAGATTCTTTTTTTGCATAGCTAAAATTCAAACCAGAATAATTCAGTTCAATGTGTTATTGCTGTTATCTGCTGTCAGGCTAACTTCAAGTTAGGGTGACCCTTATGAATTGAGACCCAATCTAGTCATCAGATGCCCTGTAAACTCAAGCTGTGGCTTCCTTGACTGAGCCAATCTAAGTGTGGTGAGATCTTCCTCAATTCATACTGCTTTCTAATTTATCAAGCATAATCATCTCTACAAATGACTGACACCACCTCTTGATGTCCAAAGTACAACAGTTTCCATTTAGTTAACTTGGCTTCTAGTGAGGGTTCAGGCCTAATTTGCTCTTGACCCTGTTAAGATTAATCAAAACATTTTTCTTGCTTAATGACAAAAGCATGTGATACCTATACAGTATATGGGTATTTAAATTTCACAAGTTTAGAGTCTTAGATCATTCTAAAAGACCTCAACTCATCTCTTTGGAAGTAATTTACTTAATGTTTATTATTCACAAGAAAAACCATTTCCCATGATTTCTACACTATTTTGTAAAAGCAACTACAGCAATTAATTCTCATTTTAGAAGTTTTTTTTAAATTTCATCAGTTAATTTTTAAAGTAATTTAAATTATGTTGCATAATACCAACATATAAACCTGTGATCAACACTTTCATGTGAACAGGTTTTTGCAACATGAGTATTTTTTGCCTAAACACGATAGAAGTTATAATTAAAATAATAGAGATGCTATGATTAAGCATAGCTTACATTTTACAAAGATTAAACAGCTAAAGAGTTTTTGGCAAGCATAGAAACTCAAATACAAAATATTCAACAGTCTCAAAGATTTTTATCAACATAAACTAGTTACTATAAAGTATGAATCAGAGATGTGAAGGCATAGGGAAAAATAAAAGCCAGCAACTTTGACTTAACCATTTGTGAAATAATACAGGTGCTCCCACTTTACAGCAATCCAACTTTTTCAATTATACCTTATTTCATCACATAATACCAGCAGTTGCAACCTCTATTTTTGGGGTGCCAAAATTGGTATTTTACAGTTGCATCTTTGATTTAGACAAACTACCTGCTGTAAACGGTCTAGTGTTCCCTTCTACGTCTCTTGCTGCCCTACCCTAAACAGTTTTACCTGCTTGCCCATCCTCTTTCAGCAAGGGTGCTTCACTTGGTTACCTACCCATCTGCCCATCCACCTGCTGGTACTTCACTCACTCATTCCTTCACTTGTGCACTCACCCCCAGCTTCACTCACTCACCTATCGACCTGCTCATCCATCCATCCATCCATCCACTCACCCGCCTCCTTTCAGGCATGGGTGAGTTGATAGATGGACATGCAAGTGAAACAGTGGGCAAATGGGTGGGCAAGCAAGTGAATGAAGTGCTGGCCGATGAGCAGGGGATGGATGGGCAAACAAGAGAGTAAAGCACCCTTGCTGAAAGGGGACAGGCAAGCAAAGTAAAGCTATTTAGAGCAGCAACTTCAACAGTGGTTTAATAAAGCTATTGTACTGGTACATAAAACTTGCACATTTCTCCTTGCATAGAAGTCACACACCCTTTTTCAGAAAGAGATGAATGTGTGACTCTTACATGATGAAATACGGTAATTAGAATCCATACATTTGTTGCATGCCCCACTCTTTTGACTTGCTTCACGTTTCCATGATTCTCCACACGTGTTGCTTTTTTCTCTCCATTTGTACTTATAAAACTTAAAACAAAAAAAGACTAGATTCAATTATCTGTTTTCAACCATGACCTAGCTGCTAACCTGTCAATTCAGTGAATGACACCTGTATTCATTATTCAGCTACCAATATATCTAGCTGGGAAAGTGTACCCTGAGTTTTCACTAGCACAGTCAGTTAGTTGTAAATCAGGTTTGTTACTGGTTTGAACTTCTAGTTGTAGGGAAAGTTCAAACTAGTTTCAATGCATCAATCGGTAAGAGCTCAACCAAAAATTTATTGGCTGTCTTCAGTTTTAAGTCTATTCCTGTTGTTATTTGGGGCACCGATTCAGAAAATTGCATTGGACAGACAACATCAGCTCAACTTTCTTAGAAATTGTTATCATGATTTTCTATGGGCAATCAGATGAAAGCTGGTATATGGTATTTGTTCTGTATCTCAAAAACTAAAACTGATAGAGGGGAACTCATGCCACTTTTGGAATCAGTAGATCAAATATACCCAAGAAACAACTCTACTATCGGAGGCACCAAAATGTGTATTGGCCAGTGTAATGTGGGGGGGGGGGGGCACTAGGTGGGCCCAGGGGTGTTAACCGTCCTCTATGCTAGCCAGAACATTTTAAAAAATTGGCTGGAGTAACATTTAAAAATGTATACATTCCAACTTGCATATAAATTCAACTTAAAAACAAACCTACAGAACCCATCTTGTTTGTAACCCGGGGACTGACTATATAAGCTCCCCCACACACACATTTTTCAACATCTCACTTTTCAATGACATTCTTTCTCAACCATTCTAAATTATTACCCAATACTGTATTGTTGACCATGCATCAAATTAATAGGCTGTGGTTATGTATACAATTATCCCTCCACATTTTAAGATTCAATGTTCTTGGATCTATTTATGCATGGATGACTGTATTTGCCACCACTTCTGCTGTCACCCAAAAATATGTTCTCTCTAGGCCAGTGGTTCTCAACCTGGGGTCCCCAGATGTTTTTGGCCTACAACTCCCAGAAATCCCAGCCAGTTTACCAGCTGTTAGGATTTCTGAGAGTTGAAGGCCAAAAACATCTGGGGATCCCAGGTTGAGAACCACTGCTCTAGACATTTCTAGGTCCGCTGACATGATCCTATGGTTAACTTCCATTATGATGAGTTCTCTCAAATTTTGTTTTACTTATATTCACTTTCACAGGGGCCCTGAACCCCTAAGCCCTACAAATGTGAAGGGACAACAGTAATGTAAGAGGATTGAAATAATGGTTTGGCAGCTGCAGGTACTGTACTGTACTATACACAGACTAAAATATGTTGCTTTTTGTGGCCACACATACTCCTCGCTCTCCTGGTTCATTTGTTCAGTCTGTGTACTGTACAGTACAACAAACCTTGCAGCTGTATTCTTGTTCTCTGAGGAAGACACTTGGGGGGGGGGGGGTAGTAATCTTTAACTAGAAGTGCTCAAGGGAGTTTGGAGCAGCTTTAAAGGAGGAAGCTAAGCATCCCAGCTCTTACACCAAGCTGTAAGGTGGGAGCACTTTCCTGTTGCATTCTAGACACTTACTTGAAAGAGCATGCAGAATTGCAATGGGATGTGCTGCCTTGGTTTGGATACTCTTTGGCAGGAGAGCAGGAAGTGGTGGAGAAGCGAAGAAAAGCCCTTGGAGTTTTGCAAACAAAACATGTGAGCCCCTTGCCTCTACAACCCTGCTCCCCTATCTTTTTTGGCTTCCTCACCTTCCAGTGGTGGGGAGTGGGGAACAAGATGAACAACTGCGAACTTTCACCTCAATAATCTCTTCCAAAGTCATAGAAAAACTTGTTCACATACTGCACCAACTCTGCACCTGCTTTTCGTATCTATAGCAGAGTAGTGTAGGAATATTTTGTATTTATAGCAGAGTAGAATACAACATACAACAAAGATATAAGTTTCCCCAGTGCTATATATGAACTTATAGTAGGAAGCAAGAGAGAAAATACACAGGATGCTCTGATAAGGCTTTAAAAGGATAAAAAACCTACTTGTACTGTTGCAGGTAATACATCTCAGATAAAATAAAATTATGTGACTTTGTTACAAAAGACTAATTCTGACTCTTTTCTGTGTGTGTGAGGACTCTAGAGGCAGAGAAGTCTCATGGTGAGTCGCCTTCGGGCTGAGAACAGCGGTATATAAGTAAGGTAAATAAATAATAAATAAATAATGGTGCTCCCTTCTCAAAAAAAGGATAATAAAACACACTAAAGACTTCTGGGATTTTTAGAGGGTTGTCACTTCAACATGCAGACAGGAAGCAAAAAAAAAATCCATAAGAATTAAATTGATTTAGGAAACTGAAAACATGAAAGCGGGCATGCACTATAGGGTTCCCTCTGTCCTTAACTGCTCTACATATACAAGTGTTGATGAATCTTCATTTCCAACGCTTTCTTTCTCACCCCACTTTTCTTCTCTTCTCCTTTTCTGTGAGCGCCTAGCAGAGGGAGCCAGGACACCCTGCTTGCTCCTTGAAAAGCACTTCCAAACTTTCCAAAGTGCTTCTGGGTGTGGCTAAATGTGTAGTGTAACCTGCTCATTTCAGAGGCTAGGTGTCAAAGTACTATAAGTAAAGGTATAAGTTTCCCCTTGACATTAAGTCTAGTTGTGTCCAACTCTGGGGGTGGTGTTCATTTCCATTTCTAAGCCAAAGAGTTGGCATTGTTCGTAAACACCTCCAACGCCATGTGGTCAGCATGACTGCATGGAGCGCCATTACCTTCCCGCCAGAGTGGTACCTATCAATGTACTCATATTTGCATTGTTTTTGAACTGCTAGGTTGACAGAAGCTGGGGCTAACAGCGGGAGCTCACACTGCCCCTCGGATTTGAACCACCAACCTTTCGGGGGTTTTGGACCAGGAAAGAGTAGCCTGGGTGGCCCACCATAGCCAAGCACTATAGGTTCTGCATTTCAGTAATTTCCACCTTTCAACAGTGTCCTGCAGACCACACTATCAGAAATTGCATTTCCACATCCATCAAAAATGATATTCCCACATTTAAGTATATGAGTTTTATCCTGCCCACTTATCCATCTGTGGGAATGACCCCAATGTATATTATGTCCAGATCCAAATAGCTAATTAACAATGATTGTTACTGGCTGACACTGATCCTGTCACTATAACAAATCTAGACAATTAACTGTATGACAAATTAAAGAACTGTAAATAATGAATGAAATAAAGAGAAGAGCTGCATCAAATCAGGTAGTTGAGGAAAAATCAGTTCAAAATAACAAATATACTAGTTGAAAGC